ACGTTAAAGATTCATATATATTTTGAAAAAGACAAACCTTCTGTTCGTCGACATATCATGTAATAAAAATGCAATATATTTTTCGATCTAAAATCTGCCGTTTTTGATTTGTATCAAATATATTTCTATATAGCATTTCTATACATTTCTATGTAGCAATATGCAACTATGGGCTAATTTTCTAGAAATTTAGAAACTATATGGCTGGATAGATATCCTACATTGAAGACTAGTCAACTGACCCGGCTTCGTCCGGGTTATATCTGAGTGAATATTTGCCTAACTAATCAAGGTTATTAGTAATAATAGTAAGTGGTCGTAGTGTCGGAGAGAGAGAGAGAGAGAGAGAAATGTCACCATCCTTCTTTATTTGTCGCCAAAAGTTCAGCAAAGTGATGTCCCAGCCGAGTTGACAGATGGGGTCATTTGTAGGAAGCGACCAGATGATAGCCGGAAGGTCCTCTGCTAGCTTAGATCTATAGCGATGTCGTTAAAGAGAGAGAAGCTGGCAAAAGCTGGCTTGATCTTGATTTTCAGTACGAATACGGACCGCGGAAGCGTGGCCTATCGATCCTTTTGATATTCGTGGTTTGAAGCAAGAGGTGTCAGAAAAATTACCAAAGAGATAACTGGCTTGTGGCGGCCAAGCGTTCATAGCGACGTCGCTTTTTGATTCTTCGATGTCGGCTCTTCCTATCATTGCGAAGAGAGAGAGAGAGAGGGTAAAAAGTCATTAATCATTATTCGACTCCAGATATGCAAATTAGAATGCTATCAAACTGAATAGTATATTTCAACTATTAAACTAGAGACTTTTTAAAGGTATACTCTATATACTATCAGCGTTTATACAGATAGGCGGGATAAATGGAATATGTAAATTTGGTCTGCTATCGTACAAATTTGCATATACCGAGGTCGGAACTATGACATGGACTCCTTCATAACCGAATTCTATATCTTGTCAAAGTTTCATTCGTATACGGAACCACAATTCCTTTTATTATTTATTCACATGCTGACTGAAAAGCCCTCTTTATTTATGGCCTTAGAGGGTTTTTAAATGCGTGAATTCGTGGTGTTTGGAAAAGGTAATGAATAAGATGCCTAGGAAGCACTAAGATTCCAATGTCCAAGTTATGTTTTCTTTACCTAAACGCTCTGTGATTACGAACCTGGTTGACGAAGGTATTTGACCTGCAGACATCGAGACATCGTTCGTCAGCTCATCTTCAGAGTCGTTAAGAGGATTGTCAAGCAATACCTGGAGAAAGGGTATTTGGAAGTGCTTCCACCATTGGGCCGCGGTCAACATCAACCCGTAACATCGTCAAGAAGAGTTTTGCCCAAAGTGACGGCGTCAGAATGAATCGCTTCTAATTTTAAAATCCCTAGGTAAAGAGCACAGACTCTCTTGAAATGTGACCTGGGACTTCGCGGATATTGTCTATCGTGGACAAACTGAAGCCGCAATGACCAATCGACTGAACAAGGCAAAGTAGTTTCTCTCAGTGATCCGAGAGGGTCGACATCGTGTGGACGAACATCTTCACGTTAAAGCCTCCTATTCTCAAAATCACCTTAAGTTGATGCTTTCAAGAAACAAGGGATTCGGGAAACGTCATGTGGGTACACAACACCCCAGATGTCATTATATGGGCTGTAATTACTTCTGAAAAGGCAATACTCCGCAGGTTTCTATTGAAAGAATTTAAAAATCCGACTCGTATAAGTCCAACAAGACGTCATTCTGAGAGAATCTCTGCTTCACTGGGCTTGACAACATTTCGTCAATTCTAATGCTACAGGACTACAGGGCTTTCGCTCACGATGGCATTTTGCCAAAAGCATTTCCTGGGATCTTTGTACAAATACATGTGGCTCTCAAACTCCCAGGATATGAACCCATAGACTACTATGTATGGTTATTTGGAGCAAAATGTTTCTTCTTCTCCCCACAAAAGTTTGGAATAGCCAAAAGCAGCGAGAGAGGGCCGAGGCCAATGCCAACTATCCACGGTGGAGTCTATCACTAAACTCTTCAAAGCCTGCATAAGGTCAAAAGATACCTTTTCGATATATTCAACGAATAAATTGTTTCCTTAATGTAGGTTATTTGATATATTCATCTTGAATTTAACAAAATGAGTTAATTTCACTTCGTTATTGTAAAATATTTTAAGACAAAACTTTTCAGCTACCCTAAAAAATTGAAATTAGGTAACTCTCGCCAATTTCAGATTTGTTCTACTAGTCCAAAAAAAAAAAAAAAAATTTTCTAGATATTTTCTAGTCTTTTTTAAAAGACTATAGTTTAATGTTACTTTCTCCACCAGGTTTCATATGGCATATCTAACAATCATATTGTTTAAATATACTATTATTGATTTCTTATGTTTAAAATATATAAACTAGTCTAATGATATTTCTCCTTGATATTTGCAAACCCTAGTATTTTTTGTTAGAAAAGGAATAAGCAATATGTGTGTGTTCAAATAACAAAAATATAGACATGACAGTACCACCAGTAGAATGAATCAATTAGCTTTATTTATTTCGGCTTAACTTTGTACATTTGACTTTATACAAGGATGTATCAAAATGTTGGAAGAAAGGCGTGCTTATATACACTGAATCAGCCACATAGAAATATATATATAGAGAGAGACATATACCCCTTTCTAAAAATGTCTATTTACCATGAAACATCCAGCAATTCAACTTTATGCACATCTTTTTATATTAGAACTAATTATCGTTTGCACAAGAAATCTAATATGATTTTTTTATGGAGGGAAAATATTTTATATTGTGAATAATAAGAATATTTTATATAAATTGGTACTTGTCTTTATTTTTAGATCTAATATATTTTTTTCTAATTAAAAAATCAAATTTATTAAATATATTTAAAATAATGTGAATATTTATTCATTATATAATAATATATTATTATTTGAATTTTCATATAGAGGATTGATGTTAGATGTCAAAAGTGAATTTTGAAACAAAATATTTATATTCAACTTTCTTTAAAAAATTATTTTCGCGATAAAATTAAAAATATGAATCAAATATTTTTTTTTAATGTGTGTTTTATTTTATTTCTATTAAGTTTTAAAATTTTATTTATATATAGCTACATAAATATAATATTTGAAAATATAAGCAAAAATATACAAATATTTAAAATAAAATTTATTAATTAAAAAAAAAAGGAAGAATCAAACATTTAAAGATAAAATAATATTTTGAAAAATGTTGAGAATAATAGGTTTAGAGAATTAATATAAGCCCCCTCATAATAATATAATTTATAATACAGAACAATGTTTATGGGCTAAATCCTAAAAAAAAAAACTATCTAAATTATTTTAAGAGAAAGCTATTTCGTGAGAAAAAAAGTATTTAAAAAAAGGTGATTGGCATGTTGAGAGATATACGCATTAAAGATCTTAAAGTTTCAGTTTGAATAATAATAAAAAAATAAATTCAAAATTTCATGTGTCATTCCAAAAAGAAAAAGAAAGCAATATATTTGTCCATTATATTATAAAAATATGTTCATTAAAAGATGTTGATTTAACTCCATTGGAGAAAATATCTACTCGTGTGATATTTTCAAACAATCTTATGGTTTGAAATATAGGGTAAAATGAAATACAAATATTTACAAATAGAAAGGTATACTAGAAGTTGAAATATATTATAGTAAATATACTTATTTCATTTTCTATTGGAGTCAAAATACTGGCGCTCGAAAAAAAAAAAAAGAGATATACATTTAAAAAATTAAAATACATTAATACGCTCAATGTAATAATAACCTTGGTCTTTTCTTTGTATGAAAAAGGGGACTAAAACATTCCTAATAAATACATAGAAAATTACTGTGCTATTTGCAATCGAAAGAAATTATTTAATACATCAATATTTAAAATTAAACAGTTAGAGTTACACAATATATAAAAAATCGAAATATTTATCAATATATTCTCTATCTTTTTTAATTAAAAAAAATTCAGAAAGGGGTATAGTAAATTAATAAAATATATGCACAAAATAAAAGCTCCATGATAGCATTTTAATATATAAAAGTTTCAAATAAAAGGTATATGGCAACAATAAAAGTTAGGGAAAAAGTTAGGGCTAACAATGGCACGCCAAATGAAATGCAAGACTTGACTGGGTTATACCATGATATATAAGCCTTGAGTATTGATCAATCAAACAAAAAAAAAATTATGGACAAAAATATAATTACAAGTAAATCATAACAACGAGAAACAATAATAAAAAGAATAAATATATAAAAGTAAAATTCTCATATCTCTTCAATCTATTTATATATAATATGTATATAAGGGGGTTGTGCATATAAACAAAATAATCTCTCTATTTAGAATATTAACAAACAAAGACGTGTGGTGTCGAAAGTGAGAGATAAGAGAACGAACTAAAAAATAAGTGTCAAGTAAAAAGTGTCATTCCAATGCTGTCAACATTTGTTGGAGCATTTGCACTTACGAACGATGTCGACGTGGGTAGTGAAACGTGAACCGTCGGGGCAGGACATACGGACAGCTCGGCGTTTCACACGTTGTGGACGGCAACAGAGATCTCCGCAGCCTCCTGTGCAGCGTGCTGTCTTGAGCGGTTTGACAGAACGACAGCCTCCTTGTTCATGGTACTCTCTCACTGGCTCCTTCTGGCAAGTTGGTGCTGCAGACATCCCCTCCGCTGTTAGCGCTGGCCCCGTCTCTGCAGACCGAGCCCTCTCAGACCTCCCCCATTGTCATGGTATTGCTACACTCTTCCTATCACCTTGGGAAAGATGAACGGATAACTTTAAACACCGTCGAAATTAGAGGATATTGATTTATAAAACGAAAGGACATCCATCAAGATAAACGCTTAAAATAAGTACTATATATTGATTTAAATCTACTGGACATAAATTAAATATAACTTTATATATTATTTACGAACGGAGAAATATATCCAAGGTAGCCTAGTGGACATGGCATCTGCCCGGTAAGCGGAACACTGTGGGTTCGATTCCCATCCCTTGACACTTTTATGCTTCCGTTTATCATTACTCTTCACAATTCATCCTTTCATACTTCATCATTAAGTTTGAAATAATCGTTGTTTCTCCTTAAAATGAATTTCGATTTTTCGTTCAAAAGAAACACATGCGGGATAATTTTCAAATGTCGTTTTACAATCATAAGCCTCATTATATTGTATTATAAATTAAATATCGTAAAGATAGAGGCTGACTGGCCGGCATTCATAGTTCTTCAAATTAAAGATAATTCGGCCAGTGAATCTTTTTATTAACCCGACATTTCGACAAAAATCTTTTGTCCTCGTTTTTAACGCTTTGCCAAATGTTTTAATTTTTGTTCGCTCCTGACGAGGACAAAAATTTTTTGTCGAAACGTCGAGGTAATAAAAATATTTACTGGCCGAAGTTACTTTAATTTCAAGAAATAAACTAAATAATTAAACAAGTTTCTGGATATGAGTTTCATTTCATTTTATTAAAGCAGTCTCAAGCTTTCGGGCATCTCTGTCCTTCTACAGGAGAACATAAATACACGAATAAAACGTCGCCTAATGCTAAACTGCTAAAATTTTAGCTTCAGGCGGCATTCTATTCGTTTATTCATGTTCTCCTGTAGAAAGACAGAGATACCCGAAAGCTTGAGACTGATATAATAAAATTAAAAGAATCTCATATTTAGAAACCTGTTTAATTATTTAATAACTGCTACATATTGACCGTCTCCGCAAACTAGTAGACTCAAGTCGGTGAAAGAGTCACTACGCCAGCTATGGAAATTTTAGAGCGCCCACCTGGAAACCACCATGGTTTTGGGCTAATGTCCCTTTAGAGGTGGGCACTCTAAATTTGCCAAAGTGAGTATAGTAGCTTTGTCACCGTCCCGTGTCCGTTAGTTTGCGGAGACGGTCAATCGATGGCTTTTTGTTTAACGCTTAGTTGCTGGAGTATTCCTGGAGTAATCCTTAGACTTTCAACAATGGAGTTTTGGGATCGCAGGTAAAGGGGCCACGAATCTTCAAACATGAAGTTTCAGGCCAAAGACAAAATATCAGATCTTTACCTTATTTTATAGCGCAAAAATGTTAATTTTATTATTATTTAATATTAAATCCAAAAGACAAAAACCTCTCGCAATTAGTATCTTTTATTACAAATATTATTTATTACAAATTCTGTACCAACACACGTTAAACACAGGGCATAGTTTTGATCTGGATAACCCCATCTGCCATTACAACAACATCAGATACAAAGGGGAAAGATTAATTTTGGAATCCTTGGTTTCTGGTTGTAAAGACAGCATAAACAGAAGAATAGATGTACCGGAACAGTTCCGCTGCCTTTTTAAAAGAGTTTGAAGAACGAATTCTGCTATGTCCCCTTCCCCCCCCCTTAGTTTTAAACTTAATTTAGTTTTAAAAAAATTTTGCATATCTGATTATCTTTTAATTCTCTAATTTACCTTTTAGCATATCTTTGAGCGAATATTTGTATATATTTTTTCGATTACCTCTATATATTAATAAGAATCTGATTTCGTTTTGTAAGAACGCCCGTTGAAGAACTAATAGTTCGAAAGCTAGCGTCCGTTATTTGTAATAAAAGATACTAATTGCGAGAGGTTTTTTGTCTTTTGGATTTAATTTTATGCGCAAGTTCTTTGATCTTATTATTTAATATAACAAATCATACTGCTTTCACCCTCTGCTATGGTGAAATAAAGAGAGGGCTTGCTGGCTCATCAGAGGTGAACCCACCCAGAGGTCTCTCAAGTGTAATCTACCAAGCCACCGTAATATCGGAGTCTTTATATCGGTATATTGAAGAGGAATTCTTCGTAAAGAGAGAACTTTGAATATCGCGTGTTATACTGAACGTGTCTCTATACAGCCTGTATATCAGCTTCACTCCCACTGTTAGGGTTTCCTTACATTCCTAACCTCTTCTTTCTTATCTCCACTCAATCATATCAAGGTATCAAGCTTGTAGAGCTTGTTGATGGTGCCTTCTGGGGATGATTAGAGCTCATCAATTGATGAGTCAATACAGTCAATAATGTGTTTTGGGGTTACAGATTGAGAAATGCACTTAGTAAATAGTGGGAAAACCTAGCAACCATTCTGGAAAGTCATTGTCCATAGATGACCAGAATTAAGTCTGGAACACTTTTGATTCCTATCCTGAGAAGGACAAACTCGAGTAAGCGGGGGAGGGGGGGTCTAGACAGAGATAAGAACTTACCCTTATCGCAGTAGGGGCCTGACCAGCCTTGTCGGCAGTGGCACTCGTAGCCTTCGTCCGCCGGTACACAGCGGCCCTTCTTGCAGCGATGATCCAGACAGGCTGGGGGGTCCCAGCCCGGACACCCGGGGGAGGTCCGGGGCCGCGCGTGGGCCTTGAGAGCGTCCAGGGGCTGACCGTTCAGTAGCATGGCTTGCAGACATCCTGCATCAACCGGTGGTTGGCTTGGAGGAGATTTCTACATACAGACACCAGATGTCTCCCTAAAGAATGATTACAAAGACGTGTCCTGATCACGGAGCTAAATGTTGATTCATATTTTATTGGCAAAAAGGGAGGTTTGTGGGATCAATATATTGAAGCAAATCAAAGTTGATGTTTATTCCTATAAATGGCTATAAATGTCTAGTGATCTCCTCATACCTGTGTAACCCCGGTACACTCCTTATCAACGCTGCAATAAAAGATAAGTACTGGTTTTGTTATAAATAATCGTGTGGTTTTATTTACGTCCTTCCTTTTTTTGTTGTATTTCTGAGTGTACGCGTTTTCTCTGTGTTAAGCTACTTTTAATTTAGGCCCTACAGTAGAACTCCTCAAATTCGGAAAGCTTGGGGCGCAAGGTATTCCGAATTTGAGAGAGTTAGATTTGTGAATATTTATGTGGCATAAATAGGCATTTAGATGACTGAGACAAAGATTTTGAAGCATATGAACAATTTTAGGTTGAATATTATATGTACATTACATAATTTTAATTACGATTTTTAATCAAATGTTCCTTGACTTTTATGAGTTTTGAGCATGAAACCGATGAAAAATAGTAAAATATTTTATTATGTATGTAATGCAATTGATGGCCAAGTAAGTTATGGCTTGGCAAAGAAGTTGCTGATTGTTGTCTGTTTCTTAGGCTTGTTTAACAAAGCTTCTTCTTCTCTCATAAGCATAGTTAGAAGAATATTGATGGTGTTGTAGCTTGCAAGCATTTCTGGTTCAGTGCGCTTTTCCAAATATTTTAATGCAACATCCAAACTTTTCAACGCTTCGCATCTGGGAACATCCGGCTCCAAACTGTCTTCAGAAGTTGAGGAACTATCATCAGAACTGCTGATTTCCATTTTTTTCACTCAAAACAGCTTCAACTATATCATCATTGCTAAGAACATTGTGACCTGGATCATCAAGGTCTATATCGATCCATTCATTAATGCTTTCTTGATTTACTTCAATTCTAGCTCTTTGAAATAATTGCTCCAGCCGTCTAATTTCTTGTTCATCTTCATCAGATTCATCCTCGGATAATTGTAATGCATCTCCTGCTGTTTCCAAATCTGAATTATTTTTGTGTTCAAGCAAAATCTTCCATCCATTTCATATTGTAGAAGATTTTAATTCATCCCAAGAATTTCCAAAATTGAATATCGCTTTCTTGATGTCGTACTTTTTTAAATTAGAAAAAGTTTGTTCACCCACAGAGTTATTTGGCTGATCTGCATCACTTGAAAATACTAAACAACTTTCTAACTGTCTTCGTTTATACAACCTTTTAAAGGCAACAATAACTCCCTGGTCCATAGGCTGCAATACAGATGTTGTATTAGGTGGTAAAAACTTCTTATTGGACAATATCCTAAACTAAGCACAAAGGTCAAATGAAACTGTTGATTTATTTAAGCTTTTAAAAAAGGGGATAAACCCCTAATTAGCGATTATAAATAATCGGTAAAAGTAAATTAATTAAACACTTAAATTAAAAATAAATTACTAATAAAAATCAAATTAAATAAAATAAAAGCAAAGCAAAAGTAAAAGTAAATAAAATAAAATAAAATAATGTTGAAATATCAACAAAATAAAAGCATGTGAAAATTGATTTTTTTGTATGTAAAAAAACATTACAATACTTTCCGAATTTGGGAGTTTCCGAATTTCAGAATTTCCGAATTTTTGAGGAGTTCTACTGTACTTCCTTTTTTATGTGTGTAAACCGTACAAAGTAACTTTGACAAAGTAAAACTCGAGGACTGTTCACAATTGTATGAGTACGGTTGGCAATCACAGCTGTGACTTATTCCACCAAAATGAGCCAATGTTTGAAGGACAGCGTTCCTACCATCGAAGGAGGTGGCGTTCCGCAGGTGCCACTGCCGCGCTGCCATGGCCGCCACGTCCGGGGGCACACCGCCCAGGAAGAGCGCCCCCGCCGGCTCCAGGAACTCCCGCTTGCCCTCGTTCACGACGGTGCGGGCCGGTGCTTGGTCCACCCGCATGCTGAGGTTCTTCCCCTGGAGCAGCAGCTGCAGGGAGTGGGGACGTCCGTCCGCTACTGTCTCATAGCTGAACATGGTTGACACCGGGTGGTTGCCCACGTCGTAGCTTGCTCGGACCCGGCCCTGCGTCATTGGACACTTCAATTATTGTGATAATTCCTTTATATATATGTAGCAATATACACTAGATTTTTAATATGTATCATAATTAGAAAAAGTGTAATAATAAAATGTAGATACAGTTCAACGCGCCAGATTGGTCATCATATAATCACAAATTGTCTAATGGTCTTCAAATTCTTGTTGTAAATCAGTTTTGCGATTCCTTCGCTAGTAAGTTACAGACCTGGAAGAGCTCTGCGGCGACGTGTCCCAGCTGTCCCGCGCTGTAGGCCAGGATCCCCGACTGTCCGTTCCGTGTGGCGAACACCAGGGTGAGGTTGACGGGTGCTCGGGTCGGACCCAGGGAGTCCAGCTCCACGTAGCCAC